CCCCCCCCCCCCCCCCCCCCCCATTTTTGTATACAAACCGCCCCTCCTGTTCGCAGCACGGTTTTGCTCCACGCCTGCCAAAATCGTGCTTCGCCCCTTGCTTTGGCACATAATGGGTTCTGGCCCTCCCTTCCGCATAAATGTTCTCCAGGCAGAAGAGCTGTTCTTTTTGTCTTTCGCGCAAGCAGCCTCTGCCCCTTCAGACCATGCTGTGAGCCAAGAATGCAAGAATAGGCTGGAGAAACCTTCTCAAAAATGGTTTGGCTAAATTTAAACCATGGGCCCCGTGGAGGAAAGACAAAGGAGCACCGGGGGGTGCCCCCCCCCCCCCGCCACTGCCCCCGTGGCCAGCTGGGAGCCAAGAGGTTCAAACAAGGGTGAAAGGCCAAAACATATTTTATTCAACCAATATGGGGAGTTATGGAGAAAGACAGGTGGACCCATTCGGTTTTCTTCAGCTTGCCAGAAACTCTGGAAATGACAACAGACAGACCTACTAGAGGTGGTTGCTATGTAGTCTTGCCAGGATTCTAGGTCTACATCAAGGTTCAACGTCTGGGCCTTTTGCCCTTCTTTTAATACTTTTCTTGAAGGTCAAGGAGAATAAACAGTAAATTGAGAAACACAACTCTAGAGCAGTCTCTCTCAACCTCAGCAACTTTAAGATGTGTGGACTTCAATTCCCAGAATTCCCTAGCCAGCGTGGGGAATTCTGGGAGTTGCAGTCCACACATCTTAAAATTGTTGAGGTTGAGAAACCCAGTAAACAAAAGGGAGAAATCCCTAGGGGTTCCCCCCCCCCTTTCCTCAATACAGCAGCACTTTATTCAGCTGGGACCCCACCTGCACTCTACAGCTAATAAGGGGAGAAGAGCAGCTTTGGTGCTGCAAAGAATTCAGGTTGGCAGCTTGGACATGGATACAGAGAGGCTCTCAGTTTCACCAGGGAAGAAATTGCCCAGGAGATGAGTTGGGGAGGTGGACTGAAGCTTGAGGAGTGAAGAGGCTGAGAAGCAGATTAGAGTTGGATGGGCCAGATGGAAAGAGGTCTTACTCCAGGGGCAGGAGATCCACCAGCCAGGAAGAGAATGAGAAAAACTGGTACCTGAGACCTTTCCAGAGATGCTGTGGGCAATTGTAAGGGATGGGGAAGAGTCCATTTAAATATGTGCTTTTGAAATTGACTCCACATTTAAAGAGACTGCTCAGTTGGTGGTGTCCAAACGCCAGGAGATTCATGGTGGGGAGTTCAATAGCATCCTGTGATTGATGGGTATTCTTGTGCTCGTGGGATACTATCTCTAAATGTGTGCAGGTGTTTGTATTCTGCTGCAAGTAGTGAAGTCAAGTTCTTGTTTGTGGAAAATTAAAGGTTGGATGTTGAATTATTATCATTAAATGCCCAGGTAAGGGAGGGGAAGGAGCTCTTCAGAACAATTCCAGATGTTTGAAGGTTTGGCCTGGCCTTGTTTAAAGTGATTGAAATATAGGAGTTACTGTATATAGATGAAAGACAGCTTATAGAGTCCTTACAGTCTGTGTTCATTCACACTTTGTGTCAAGAAAGCTCTATTCTTGCCTGTCTCTTACCACTATTTTATTTCAACTAATACTTAAGTTGGGGGGGGGGAACTATCCTCTAATTTCCCCCCAAAAGTTTCCTCTTCTGCAAAGGAATATGACAACCAGAAATTAAAACACTAGAATTGGCAACAGGAATTAGTTAATAGGTTCTGGTATGACTGGCAACTTCATCCATCACATGCAAAAATCTGTATTTCTGACCAATGTCCTTAAGGACTTGGGCTTCAAGTCAATTTTGAATCCTGGCAACTGCCTAGACAAGTCCATGAAGTTTTCTTGGCAATATTTTCAGAAGTGGTTTGCCCTTGCCACTTCCTTCCTAGGGCTGAGAGAGAGTGACTGGCCCAAGGTCACCCAGCTGGCTTTGTGCCTAAGGCGTGACTAGAACTCACAGACTCCCGGTTTCTAGCCTGGTGCCTTCACCACAACATCAGACTGTCTCTTAATTTCCTGCTATGGTTGGACTATTCATGGGGACTTTTACACTCAGGGCCTATCATAGAGTAGACTGAAGCTCTACATCTGTAACCATCAGGAGCACTTGCATCTTTATGTAGCATCTCCATTATAAGTTCCAGTAGCTCTAGGAACCATCTGCCTACAGACTCATTATCCACATATTCATTGGGATGTTGACATTTATCTGTTTATTGCATTTGATCAACATATATGGCCACCCGCTCACCTGAATGGATGGCTAACAAGTTATCAAAAGCAAGAGTCAACGCAAATAACAATTAAAATTGAACACGCTGTCAAAGCACATTGTCCCCTGCTTTAACTTTGCCTCACAGTCAGCAGGGACACAATCCTACCCCACTTGCTGCCTCTTCAGAAAAAAACCTGCTCAGCCTTGCTTTCTAAATATTTGCCTTATACAGAAGCGTTTGGAAGAGAGGAAGCACAGATCCCGTCCTCCGTCTCTCCTGAGATTGTGTAATCTTGTTCCTAACATTCCAGTTCCCCCAGTTCCCCAGTGTCAAATGCAAAATTAGTTGCCTAAAGGCATTTATCAATGAGAACTTAAAGTTTCATCTTGCCTTTCTCTTCCCCTCCTTCCAGTGCTCCCAGCAGTTTTGCTATAAAAAAAAGACTTCTATGTGCAATCCATGACAACAGGCTCCTGAAGTCCTTAACATTAGCCTCTTCCACTCATTTCAGAACTCTACTTTTATGACAAGGTTAACAAATTATTTCTATGACAAGTTTAACTTTGTAAAAAAAAAAAAAAAATCTTAACTACATATGCTGTTCTCACAACAGAATCACTCATTAGGTTATTTTTGCTTCCTTTCTAGATTTAATCTATTGACACTTTTGGAGGGTTGTGAATGTGAAACTAACACAGGTCACTTGTGTGTATTTCTCCTTTGAGACCTGTTCTCTAAAAGGTGAGTGCAATATGTACTGTACTGAAGGATATTGAAGCTGAGCAAAAAGAACCAGTGTTTCCATTATATATTCATTAGAGAAACTAAATGGATAATTTTCCAAATTTCTCCTAGGAATGGAAATATTCTCCAATTGTGTCTTGAGGACAAGACTCTCCCCTTAGTGCAGTGTTTCTCAACCTTGGCCACTTTAAGACGTGTGGACTTCAACTCCCAGGATTCCCCAG